GTCACACAATGGGATGACGGGGTGACGGGCGGGGTGGGCAAGTGCAACGTTATGCACACGCTGGGCCGGCATTGCGCAGCGCACCACCACCGGAAGGCGGACGCACGGAGGGGCTTTAATCAAAAGCACTTTGCGGTCCGTCACAGATAAAGAGAGAGAGAGACTACCCCGCGTGCATAACGATGCGAAAGCAAGCAGCACCGGCCAGCAGCCGGTCATTTAAAACCTCAAAAACAGCTTTCATCACAGTCTTAAATGGCGAGGCGCGCGCTGCCCGTTGCGCAACGAGAGAAAGATACGTAAAGAGGGGAGCAGATAGCCAGCGCGCGCCAACGGGCGGGACTGACGAGCTCTCCAATCAGGTAACGGCCAGCAGCATGGCCAGCACCAGAGGGCCAGCACCTGCAGACTGATTCCGAAGAGCGCTCAAGGGGAGCTGCCCCATGAGTGCGACAAGGATGGAGCTATACGGAAGGTATAGTAGTAGAGCGCTCTTCGGAATCAGTCGGCAGAGGGCCAGCACCAGAGGGCCAGCAGCACCAGAGAGGCAGCACCAGAGGGCCAGCAGCACCAGAGGGCCAGCAGCACCAGAGGGCCAGCAGCACCAGAGGGCCAGCAGCACCAGAGGGAGGGCCTCCAAAGTTGTCAACCAACCTCTTTATCGACACGGTTGTGTGTCAGCAGTTGGGCCCCACTCCGGCAGTGCTCGGCGTGTAGCGCGTAGCGGTCACCGCTTGACACCGTGAACGCAACCCGCTGACCTACCCGCCCCGCCCCGCACGCTACGCACACGCACGCGCGGTTTGGCGCCACAACGGCGTGGTGAGGCGCGCGGCGCGTGTACGACGAGTACGGCGCGGCGGCGGGTACCAGTAAGGAGATGGGGCACGGCGCGCCTCGCCGCCGCCGCCGCCGCGGGGAAAGCCATCGCATACCTCTGAAGGAAAGGTCAACCGAGCCAGCCAGCCAGCAGGCAGGCAGGCCCGAGCCAACAAGCCGGTCAGGTCCAGTCCGAGGGCGTGGCGCGCCGCGGGGCTGCTCGGCGAGGGGGGCTCGCGCCTCGCTAGCGCCACCACCGTCGCACGGTAGAAAAGCAAACAACGACCCTCTTTACTAAATGGTGCAAACTCGAAACCTCCACGACGACGACCAGGAACAAGCGGCGCGCCTTGCCAGCAAACGGCGCCGCCCGGGCGGCGCAAAGCGAGCCACAAACCAGAGGGAAGGGACGACGGGGAAGTCACGAACGTCATATACACAAGTGCGGAAGTGTCGAGGTCCAGCAGCTGCAGCTGGCACAGCTGGCGAGATCACGGCGGCGCTACGCCAACTTAGCGCCCTAACCGCACAGCTGTAGGAAGAGAGGAGAGAGGGGAAGCTGCGAAACGGCGGCCGGCCGCGGCAGAGAATCCGACCAACGCCCGCGGGCGGGAGCGCAGCGGCCGAATCGGCGATGATGGAGTTTTCGGGGACAGATTTAGTCGTGGAGGCGGGGCGAGGCGGGGAGCAGGGGGCGTTACCGTTTATGTAGTGCAGTGCGTCCCCGCGGCAACAGTGGCCGAGGCAAGGAGGAACTTTCCCCGGCCCCACGACGGCGTCGTCCACGGCGGCAATGCGGCACAAGCGGAGGAGTTGACGGCCCCGCCCCAGTTTTTAATCCGACTGGGGGAGATTAAATAAAAAGGGGCAGAAGCAGACGACACCCATTCAATTCAAGGCGACCCGCCCC